TAACATTCAGGAAGCCTGAGCTCAAGTGCTTTAATGTTTAAACACCTGGAAAGAGCCACCTCCTGTTTTCATAGCATGCAGAATTCCTCTTTGCCTGAAAGCCACACTAACACCATCTTGTCTATGACACAGAACGTCCCTGGCTACAAGATTCCTACAACCAGTGGCTGGAGCGACTGAAGGTATGGCACACAATCGTTACTAACCATGAGTAATTAAATACATTCATCATAAACCCACCTTACTAATCTTGGGCTTTAACAGAACCCTCTTCAGACAACCCCGAATACATTCTGGTAACCCAACACCAGGAACTCAGCAGCCATACCATAAAGAAAGGAATAAAGGGGATTAGTCTGACGCTTCATCACTTACCAGGTTTCTTAGCTGAATTCCTTCAGGTTCTTCAGTGTTTGGAACCCAGCTGCTCTCAGAGCGGTTCCACAGGAACCGCGTTGTGCCCCTGCTTTATAAAGACATTTATTTCTCTACATCTAGACCCAAAACTTTGAACACTGGGCCCAAAGGTAACATTTGGCTTGTTACTCTGGCTGAGTAGCCAGCCTAAGTAGGAGCTTGCTGAAGGCAATTAACTTGCCAGTTAGCAAGGCCCTTTCTGCCCCATGTGATCTCTATTGCTGCTTCATTAGGGTTAATTGAAAAGCTTTTGTATCTTTGTGTAAATCCCTGTGGGCAATGGGAGCCGAAGCTTTGCTGTGAGCTGATCATTCAACCTCCTTGCATCTTAAACCAGAACCTGCCAGCCCCTCCCGTGTAACAAACCCTGGCAGCTGAGGAACGCCAGGCACGGTCCTGACAGGGCTTTATCAGGAACTAAGCATTGCCCACTATGACATTTCTGCTGTTGGTGTGAACTGGAGGGAGCCGAGTTTATAATGTCAGATTGAGAACTGATGGAAAGGTTAATGGAGGAGAGGGAATCTCTTTGCATTTGAGGATGTCAGTGCCCGCAGCAGCACATCCTGCCCTTTCGTGGCAGAGGGAATCCTGTCACCCTACAGCAGGATAGCTTAAAACAGCCACTGAGGTAGGTGCACCCTGATGACCACCCCACTCACACCAGCAGCCACCCATGCTGCTGCTGCTCCTCCTCCAGCCTCCAAGGATGCTCCTGTTCAGAGCTGCTGTCTTTAATTCCAGTGCAGGTTATATGAATGGGGGTTGAAGGGCCTCTCAAAGAAATCAGAGTTACTGAAGGCTGCTTTAAATTACTGTGCAAAGACACCATCAGGAAACTTAGTTTCCCCTGAGACTGAGGGTAGGTGGAGTTCTGATGAGTTGTGCTGCTGCTAGAGAACCACAATGGCCAAGTGGCTGAGGCTATAAAATGTGGGGTCTTAAAGTGAGTAGCTGTAAATAACACAGACTGTGCACTGAAATGAGCTGTGAACTCAACCCTCACTATGTTGGTTTTCTCTTTCAGGAGGGTCCCCCTCATAAATGTGCCTTAATTTTCGCAGATAACAGTGGAATAGACATAATTTTAGGAGTCTTTCCTTTTGTCAGAGAGCTCCTTTCTAGAGGGACAGAGGTAAGTGGGTTTCATTGTGAATTCACTGTGTAACAGAGCTTTGGTAATTGCCAACTGCCCACCTGCAGTACTCTTGACCAGACTGGCTCCTGGCATCAAAACTGGGACTAATCCCAACCCCTGGAACTCCAAAGCTACAAGAAAGGTGGAGAGGGGCTTGGGACAAGGGCCTGTAGGGACAGGCCAAGGGGAATGGCTTGAACCTGCCTGAGGGGAGACTGAGCTGAGCTCTTAGGCAGAAGCTCTTCCCTGTGAGGGTGCAGAGGGTCGTAAGTCCCAAAATAGAAGTTAACTGAGGAGAATGAGCTGTGGGGCTCCTGCCTTCCTCTTTGCATTTCCTCTTCTGTACAGTAAGTCAGGGCACAATGACTTAAACAGACAAGCAGCTCTGCCACCACACGTGCACTGCACTAACCAGTGGACTCTTCTGGACCCTGCCTCAGGTTATACTGGCCTGTAACTCTGGCCCTGCCCTGAACGATGTCACCTACAGCGAATCCCTGATCGTGACTGAGCGGATAGCAGCAATGGATCCCATCATTCAGTAAGCACATTCCCAGCCTTCATTGTGCATTGAACAGTACAGAGAAGGGAAAAGCAAGTTCCTTGTCACATATTTAGCTGTGTTTATTTGTGTCTGAAATCTGGAAGCCAGGGCAGGACTTGTACTTTCATTAAGGTGAACAATTTACAGATCAGGTCTTTATTAACAACCCATAATTGTATTTCTTGTCTCTGTCTTCCCTGGTGAGCACTGGAGCTGCTAAAACGTGAATCTATGTTAGAAAGAACAGAGGCAAATGCAGAGATGTCACGTACAGAGTAGCCCTGTGGAAGATACGCAGCTGACCAAATAAGCCTTTTGTTGAAAGAAGCGTTGTGTTCCCTGCTGGAACCCTAGCAGGGAAAGAAGCCTTTGCAGAGCAGCCTCAGGCAGTTCTTGTCATTGGCTTAGTACCAGATATCCGTGACGTTTAATGGTTTTGTCTTTGTCTTTCTTCTTCAAGATCTGCCCTGAAGGAGGAGAAGCTGCTCTTGGTTCAGACGGGTTCGAGTTCTCCGTGCCTAGATCTCAGGTATGTTGGCAAAGTCCCCATCTGTTCTTTGTCTCCATCAGCTGCAGAATGTTCTGACACTCAGCACTGGAGGATCACAGCCACCCTTCCTGTTAGGAATCACCTCCACACAACCAGTGTGTAACATTGCTTACTCTGGATTTACAGACTTGTGGTACTGATCAGCCCTTCCTCGTTGTTGGGTATCTGCCTTATCATGGTGTGTTGAGCAGTGACACGCAGCCATGGTCAGGAGCAGCTCAGTTAAATGCAGCACATGGCCAGGAAATCCCCTTGAGCACAGGCAGTGTTCCATGTTGTTAACCTGGTTATTCTCAATTCAGTTCTCTGGGGAACAAAACTTCCCTGCATGTTTCCTGGGAAGTCCCAAATGTGCTGGGGATGGCGCTTTACAACTCCACTTCAGTCTCATTGCTTTTAAGTGTTCCTGTTTATTGGCATCAGTAATTCCAGCTGAAAAGCCGTATCCCACCACACTGTATGTCGGAGCCCTTAGAACCGCCCGTCTCTGCCTTGCGGCACGTTAAGGTCTGTTCCTAACCAGAGCTCTCCTTCAGCCGTCTGGACCAAGGCTTGGCTGTGCTGGTGCGGGAGCGCAAGACAGACCTGGTCATCATCGAGGGCATGGGCCGCGCCATCCACACCAACTACTGCGCGGCGTTCAAGTGCGAGAGCCTCAAGCTGGCTGTGATCAAGAACTCGTGGCTCGCTGACCGCCTGGGGGGCAAGATCTTCAGCGTCATCTTTAAGTACGAGGTGCCGTGTCAATGATGGGGCCGGCCCGCAGCGCCGCCGCGGCAGCAGCACGGACTTGCACTAGTTTTACTTCAACTGTAAAGAATGTATTTTTATTACAACAGGGAAAAGAGTTCATAGGAAATTCCGTATTTATATTGTGCTTTTGTGACTTAAAAAGCAACAATATGATTCACTCTATAGTATCCACCCCCAAATATATATATGTATATCACTCATTGTTTATTTTGGTAAGTGTTTATTTTCATGCTGCAGTATTTGTGATGGAAAGACTTTATTTTTTTGTTCTGTGAGACATTCATATAGAAATATATTTAAATGTCAACAAAACCTTTTTTTATACATCTCTGCCTACTCTGCCCCGAGGACATGGCACACACCAAGTGGTTCTAAAGAGCTAAGTCAGTCTGACACTGCATTTCCTGTGTCAGCTTTTAAACTTAGTTCAAGTGTTTCACGCTCTTTGCAGTTAAGTTGACTGAAGGACTGATCCACCTTCTAACCTAAGAAGCATCACTTCAGCTGTGTTTAAAACAGAGTTGTCCTGATCTGGGCTAACTGGACAGCACTGGTTTACCACCAGTTGGAAGAACCCGTAGCTCCTGTTGCTTTCCCTGTTTGTTCTTGTTACCAGTTGGGGTGGGAGGGGAATTCTGCAACTACATGAAATTACTCAGCCATAGTTTGATGAAGTTTAGTCTTACTAAGTTACCCTCAAAGTGAATGTGAAGTGCTCTGTTGAGGAGCACCCAGCTGTCCTCCTGTTGGAGGCACATTAGGTTCTGTTGCCTTCAGTTATTTAATGCTGGGATGGGTAGGAGTTAGTCTCTTGGTTCCTGCAGTGCAGTTAAAGCCATTCCCAAGTATCTGAATTTGCCTTCTTTGCCCCTCCGTGGGCTGTGCAGTACCTAAATGGAGTAATTTAACCATGAGCTTTGCATCAGCCATTCCAGCTGTGAATGGGAGAACTGGGTAATACACAGCTGAGCCAGCTGCTCCCTTTGAGTCCCAAAGATTCTGCTTTGCAAGCAAGAGGCTAATGCCCAGTGCCCACAGCCTCACCCTTCCCTGGGGAACTTGTACTTCAGTTCACCCATAACCAGGCTTCACACTCTGGTACTGCTGGATTCCAACCTTCAGTCTTCCTCAGTAGTTCTTGACCAGGTAAACTGTTAACCCTCTGTGGGTGAGCAGTGAAACCCATCCCTAATGGGAACCAGCCAAGGACGAGTCCACATCTGGCACTTGTTATGTCCAGGAGTTCCTCAGTTGCGTGGGCTCCCTCAGGGCACTGCAGGGGATTCAGTTAAGTCCCACCGTTGGGGATTACACCTCAGCTCTGTCCTTCCCCATCAGAACCAATCTTCCCAGTGAGCAGCATCTGCTCAGAATGGGGCAGTTTGTAACTGGCACGTTTCAGCAGCAGCTCTTAATGAGAACAGGCAGCTAAGATAGAGCTTGCTGTTTCCAAGGCTGTACCTCAGGCTGTCAGTAGTAAGCAGAGGCTCTGTAGTAACTCCCGAGTCACTGACTCCTACAGGCGGTTTTGTACTTCTCAACTAAATGCAGACCCACCACTGCAGCCACCTCAGCTGTATCTCAGCACGTCATTAACCTCCCTTACTGTTAAGTTACCCCCTATCCCTCATGGATTTAAATTCTTCCAAGTCACTTAATGTTCTTCTGCATCCAGCTCCACCAATCCAGAAGTGCTCTGTGTGTGTGTGGAATTAGAAAACTAACACCCTAGACCTGCAGAGAAACATCTGTCTACATCAATGTAGTTCCTATGAAATACACGTGGTATGAACCTAACAGAGGCCCGTTCCTTCAGGACAGAACTGTTAAGCATTGGCCCTCCCTGAAGTCTCCTGGCTCTGTCTCGTGTTTTTCTTTATGTGCAGACGAGTGCAGATTTCCTCTGTGAAAACAGCACAGCAGGATTTCTGGAAGACAAAAGGGAGGAAACACAGGGATGGGTGTTTCTGTGTCCTGGGAAAGGGTGCACAACCCGCCCCCGGAACAGACAGGGAACAGGGACACACTCAGATTCTAGTGCAGTTTCATTTACATGTGTTTTCCTGCTTGTCAAGTGACTTGAGAGGAGCCATACTTGAGAATAAACTTGTTACTGGTGATCAATTGTCCTCTGTACACTCTGAGCACACGGGAATGTACTTGGGCTGCCAAGGAACCCAGCAGACGTTTCTACTTAGTGTTTTGGCAGGGTGGGAGGTTATTTTGTTATTGTTGCCCTGTCCAGGCTAGAAATGTCTCACCCAGCCTAAGCCTGAAACCCCAGCTCTTCAAAGAGTAACTGGATACGATGGCTTCCCCTGTCACTGCACTGCTTTCCTCAGAAAGAGCAGGATCAGGCTGGTACCGAGCTTGTTCCTGCTGATCGGGTGGGATACAGGGAATCAGGGCAGGAGGTAAACCCATCACCCACCTTGGCATGCCCAGCAGCGCGTCTGCTCTTGTGGGAGAGCTCGGCCACGGCTGCGATCATGCCGAGGGCCAGCCCGATGGCCAGGGTGAGGAAGAGCCCCCCCAGCGCCTGGGGCTGCAGAGGGCTCCACCGCTCGCGGCTCCTGTGCAGGCAACTGCTCTCCCACCACTTGTTGCGCAGGTAATCGAGGTCCCCCGACTCACGCAGCTTGAGGACGGCCACAGAGAGCTGCTTCGTCCACGGGGATGCTGGGGGGGAGAATGAGGGTGTGAGGAGAGGCCGGGACAGCTCAAAGCACGTCAGCAATCCTCTGCTGCGCGCCAAGAAGCGCTAGGGTCTGAAGCAGGAGGCTGACGGGACGAGGGGCATGGCTTAAAACTAAAAGAGGGGAGATTCACACTGGATGTGAGGAAGAATTGTTTTACACTGAGGGTGCTAAAACCCTGGCACAGGCTGCCCCCTGCCTGGAGACACTCCAGGCCAGGCTGGATGTGGTTCTGAGCACCCTGCTCTAGCTGAAGACGTCCCTGCTCACTGCACGGGGCTGGATGAGCTGTGAAGGTCCCTTCCATCCCAAACCATTCCATGATTCCAAGTGGAGAGGGGGGCAGGAGCAGGACACAGACTAACCCTGGGTGGTGGCGATGCCAAATCCTCTGGCTCCGATAACTTCGGGGGCCCTGATGAGGTTGCAGTGCCGAGCGGCGGCGAGGTCCTGGGAGATGGATTCCCCAATGAAGGCGTAGTTGGACTCCATCACCCGCTGAACTGCCTCCTGGTAGGTCTTGACTAAAACGTGGTCTCGTCTCTTGTCCATGTACTCGTAGATCATCTGATGGATGGGATTCTTGGAGTTCTGCAGCCCAAAAATCCAAGTGTCAACTGAAGTGCAAAACCATCACATAAAATCTGCCCATACGTGCAGGGGTTGCAAAATAACTTGTTCAAGGCACACAAGGACAGCCCCTGCAGGCTAGACTGCTGGCTTGTAAAGGAATGCACTATAAACACATGGTCCTCTACAGGCTTTTCTCCCTGAGAAAGGAAGAGATGAACAAAACACCAGGTACCTTGAAGAAGTAGAAGGTAGAGGAGCCCTCCAGTGTCCCGAACTCCAGCTTCCTTTGCTTCACAAGGTCCTCAAAGGTCTGGATGGGGAGCTGCTCGCTGCCGGAGCTCAGCAGGGCGGTGAAGTTGGCGATGTAGGCAGCCAGCAGCGCGATGGTGAAGAGCCACCAGACAGCAGCAACGACCCGCACAGAGAGAGCCTTGGGTCGAGGGGTGACACCTGCAAGGCCGGGGCAGGGAAAACACATGGGAGGGATGTAGAGAGACACAAAGGGCTTTAGACCGTGAGCCTGAGTTCAAGGCTTCCCTCTACATAAAGGCCATACTGCAAAACCTGCCCTGCAGCTACTGACTGCATGAGCCTGAGAAGAGCTGCGATGGCTGCTTTGACCTGCACCAACCTGCAGAGCAGAGCTGGAGCAGTGTCAGCGGCCAAAAGCAACAACAGAACACTCCCCTCTACAAAGCACCAGTGCAGTGGTTGCCTTCACATTCCCCAGAGCAGCTACAGACACACCAGAGGTGGATATACAAACCCCATACCTCCTCTGGAGCCCCTCCATGGCTGTTCTCCAGCTCACCTTGCAGGGCAAGGGCTCCTGCTCCAAACCAGAGGCTGTTTAAGAAGGTGAAGTGGTTCTCTTCGTTCTTTGGCTCATTCCACTCACAGGGGCTCAGCCTGCAAGAAAACGACAGGATAAAACAAGACATTCAGGGGAACAATAGATCTAAACCATCCTGCAGCGTGAGTGCAGCAGTGCAGATTAGACTGAAAATGCCCCTTTCATGCATGGCAGCTCCTCTTTCACCTGAGGAGGCCAGGGCTCCGGGGGAGGGCTTTTGTTCAAGACTGCAGCTGCAGAGAGCATTAGCCCCCTAAGAAAGCAGGGGAAGCTGAATCTCTTGGGAAAGAGTGGAGGGGTGGCAGAGAGAATCTTCCATCTGTTGATGCAGGACACAGTGCATAAAAATACAGGAGAGGGACCTGCCCATGGGAACATGGTCATAGTTGAAAGCAAACTCTGATAAGGGTGAGAAGGAAGAGCTGAAGTACAAGCACACAGTGCTCTCAGCAGCCCTAGGTAGGCCACATCCAGAGATCTTGTGCGCTTCGTGCTCTTAACCTGACATGACCTAAGCTTTGTTGGCCGTGGTTCTGGACCTGTACAGAAGGTTCCTCAAAGCAAAATGCCCCCAAGTGCTTCCTTTAGAGCCAAGGTCTCTCCACAGCTGAGAAAGGAGCTTCCTTGACCAAAACCTGAGAAACAAATTCATTTGTACCTGGCAACAAGGAAGAGGCAGAAGCACGTCAGCACGTAGGCAAACAAGAGGCCGGTCCAGGTCTCCTTGCTGAAAGGGGCCAGGAAGTGGAAGAACGACATCTCCTGAGAGAGGGTTTCTTTGCGGAGCAAGATTCCGATCCCGGTCTGCAGGAAGGGGGTGGTGAAGGAGACCACCTCTTCCCTGGCTGACGTCACCGTCAGCGGCGCCACTGCGATGTCTGCTTCCTGCGGGGTGGGGAGGAAACCAAGGGACCCTCAACCTGCCTGAAGAGCCTGGCAAGCAGAGGCAGGTCTGGGCACTGCCCTGTGCCACGGACACCTCTGACAAAGGGGCAGCCTTGCACTGATGGCTGCAGGCTGCAGCTGGAATCTGGGCCTTCTGGTTTCCTGCCAGACCGGCTGAGGCTCCGGTGTCCTCAGGGCTCAGGTTCAAGGCAAGTTTTCCTGACAGCCGTTATCTTTGTTTCGCTATGGAGCTGAGGTCCCTGTGCAGTCCCTCAGAGCCCAGGAAAGCCCTGGGTGGCCTCTGAGACAAGCCCAGGAGCGCCTCTTTCTAACAGTGAGTTCCTGCTGTGGCTGTCACCTCCATGTTCCTTGGTTTCCATACATGCAGGCCAAACCCAACCACAAGCCTTGCTGCTCACGAGTTCTACACCCCAGGCAGGATGACCCCGAGCTGCTGGGTCCTGGAGCAGACCCCGGCGCTGCTCTGCCCTCCCGGAGCCCACTGTGGAACAGCACAAACGGAACATTACCCGTCTCAGAACTTCACCGATCATCCCGGTCCAGTTCCCGCCGGGAGCGACAGCTCCGTACTGCCCATCGCTCACCACCTTCACCCTGTAGCGGAACCGGAGCATTGCAGCCAGAGCCTTCAGCAGGTCGATGCAGTACCCCTCCAGCTCGGCGCTCCTCACCATGACGTAGGGATCTTCCTGCATGTTGGGGAAATACACAGAGCCTGCAGGGACCTTGGAACAGTCTCCCAGTGCCTAAAGGGGCTGCAGGAAACCTGGAGAGGGGCTTGGGTCAAGGGCCTGTAGGGACAGGCCAAGGGGAATGGCTTGAACCTGCCCGAGGGGAGACTGAGCTGAGCTCTTAGGCAGAAGCTCTTCCCTGTGAGGGTGCTGAGGCGCTGGCACAAAAATCTGCTTGCAAATATACGGGAGGAAAGAAAAAGCAAAGCATGACCCCCGCCACGTCCCAGCCACCCCAGAGCCGTGCCATTGCCTCACCAGGATTGTTGTGACAGTCAGAGTTGGAAGAACCTCTTCTGGTCTCCTCGAGTCAATGCCCTGCAGATCGAGAAATGGAGCAGGAATGATTGGATTGCAAAGTCCCAGGCAGGGCCCTCAGCCTCAGGGGGAGTCAGGGGGTCTCTTGTGCTAAACCAGCTGTAAATCTGCCCCTGTGAGCTGCAGCAACCCCACCACTGTGGTTCCCCAACAGGAACTGAGCCATCACAACCATTTCCCTTCACTGCCTGTTGTCAGGATTCGCTGCCTGAATAAAAGTCACTTTAAATGTTGTCACAAGGCGCACAGTGCACATGGGCTCCCAAAGAGATCAGTGCCTGTTGCAGACACAAGAGTCAGTGGCTGGAGGCAGGTTCTGCCGTGGGGCATGGCTGAGTTTTGAATTCTGGACTAAAGGAAAGCAAAACCCCAGCACAGACGCACACAGACTCAGACATGGCCAGCACCAGCCATGGAAATGTGTTCAAAATGATAACTTCATGGATTAAAAGCATTGCACACCGTGAGCACATCGATTTCTGGTCTTTTGCACTCACACCTTTATCGGCAGCTCCGCTCCAGGGAACTCAAACATACCTGACTCAGAGCATCATCATTCCTTGAGGTTCCTGAAAAACACAACACCATCATCAGCTTCTTACAGGGCTTCTATTTACAGCTCCTCAAAAGTGACGTTTCACACCCTCAGTCCTGCTGCACTTCAACAGCAGGATGACTGTCCTGGCCTCACCAGCTCATGGCTGCAGCAGGTCAAGTTTGCTCATTCACAGCACAGTGCTAGTGTGAAACAGGAGCAGGAACAGCCACAGCCAGTCAGACTACAAGGGTTCTGACTAACTCAGTGATGAGGGCTGTCACTCACACACTGACTCTGCACAATCAGCTGGCTTATTTCCTGACTGTCCTCCCCAGTGAGGTGAAAAGCCAGTTCTGCTGCTTCACACAACTGAGATTTCCCTCTAACTCCAGCAAACCCCTGCCGATATCCCTAAGGAAAAGCCCTGTAAACAGCCCATCACTCTCAAGTTCCAAGACACAAGGGGCTGCACCCACCGGGATACAAACCTTTCTCCACTATGTCCTGCTCTGTTCCCCCCTCAATTTCCAAGCGCCCTGACCTTTCATTCCTCTGAAAACTAAAGCCTCCAAAAGGGCCACATCCAAAACCAGGAATCAACAGCAAGAGGGGCCAGGAAGCCTCTCTGGGGTTGCCTGCTCTCTGTGTCCCATCAAGGAATAGAAAGCAAGGGAAGTCCATAAAACTGACAGTGTTTAAGCATAATGGGAGCGAGGAACAACTCTGTGAACAGCACAGAGTGAAGACCAAATGTCAAACCACTGTTGACTTTCTGGATATTACTTCTCCTAGCTGTACCTTAGTTTCCCCTCCGTAAAACCAAGGTCATGATACTCCCCTCTTCGATAAAAACACCAAGCGCTTTTACTGGGGTCAGTCTTGCTGCTGGGTTCTACTCTCTGCTCTGCTGTGTGACTTCCAACAAGTCTTGTTAAATTATTTGATCCACAGCTTCTCTTTCCTTAATCCTCAGGAGAATCCCCCCATTTCACCCCCTCTGCAAAAGAGCAAAACTACAGTGTCTGAGATGCAGAACTGACCCCACAGTTGTGTCAATGTACAACTCACTAATTGCCCAGGATGCTTGGATGCTTCTTCTAGAACACACACAGCTTTGCTCCTGGGAATCAAAGAATTCACACTGGAAAAGCCAAAAATCCCTCAAGATAACACTAAAAATTAAGAGATTAAGAGCGTTTTCACTCTTTCAAGCAAAAGCTGTGAGTTTTTCATTAAATACAACAACATATTAATTCATTATGTATTATTCATCCTTTGGTTTTGCAGTTTTTGGCCTTGTGCTGAACTCTACATTATGGTGAAACAAAACCTGTTTTTTCCCTCTCCACTACTGTTCTCCATGGGAGCTGGAAATCTTCACAAAGGAGCTCTCTTGTCTCCATTTAAAAACCCATTAATGCCACTAAAAGCTTTTTGAGGCTTCTTTTTGAAGACCTGCTAGGGTTTCCTGGAAGAAAACAGCCTGTACCGAAGGCCTCAGCTCCCCCACAGTGGCACTAGATGCAGCTGTTCAAAGCCCCATTGTAAGAACTCCTGAAAGGACCATAAGTAACCAAGTCTCTGCACTTGCTCACAGTTCATGGCAGTGATGCTTCAGAAGCCAAGTCCTCACTGTGAGCTTCTATGAAAAACAGAAGACAAAGAAGAGGCTCATCCTCCGCTCTTGCTCCCCACAGGCTGGTGGCTGCAGGAAACAACTGCAGTGGCAAAAGTCAGCCTCATGCTTACCCCTTCTCCTCTGACATGCCCAGCCTTCCAATGGGAGCTGGCTGCCTGCTTAGCTTCCTGTGGAAAAGCTCGTAGCACTGTTAAGCACTCCTCCTAAGTGCTTAACACTTAAACACTAAGGCCACCTCACCTCAGTTTCCTACCACATCCTCTCTCTAGGCTGAGGGCCTTGCCTTTGCATCCTTTGCCAGCATTTGTCTCCCCTAAGAAACAGCTTTAACCACAATGATGGTGTTCAAGGACACCTAGACACCCTTTTTCTATGCTTTTTAACCTGCCCTCGTCTCTGTCATCTGATTTACAGCTACAGCAGCAAAGGCACAAAGAGCACAATCACAAGCTGCAATAACAAGCTAGGCGCTGGTGATATCTTAATAACTAATTCAAAAGCAAAATCCTATGTTGATGTAACCAGCAGAAAAAGCTGCTAAAGAATAAGAAAATCAGGCAAAATAAGCACTAGCAGTTAAAGACTGAAAGAATTGACTCTGTAAAGAAAAACAAACCCAGATTTGGATGCAGGCAGCAGGTTTGGACCATTTTTCTCACCTGTTCGGCTTGACTCTCCCAGGAGCAGCATGGTTGTAATCACACAGAGAAGGGAGGAAAGACCTTTGTCCATTGTAGCAGAAATATCTTCTGCCTAAAGGAAACTTCCTGCTGGAGGTGAAAGGCAAGCAGTTACAGCTGCGTTTAGAGATCCTCACTGCTGGGTTAAAAGCAATACATCCTGGATTTTCTGCAACTCATTCTGAAGGGTCCCAAGTCAAGCAAAGGTCTCCAGGTGAAAACAGTCACCTCTGAGCCCAGTCATACATGTATTAAAGGAAAGAGTCTGCTGAGTAGCTTAGTGCAGCAAAAGGGATGTGACCAACCTGTAGAGCGGATTTATCACAGATGTTGTACTTTGTCTCTGCTGGTCAGCTCTCCACAAAGGAGAGGTTTGTGATCATGAGCGTGTAGGCTCTGGAGAGGGGCAGACATAGGTGTGTGCCCTGACAGGGGACACAAACCCATGGATGTGGGAAAGGAGAGGATACACACCCATGGGCTCCCATGGGAAGCAGCTGAAGTACCCCTGAGAGCCAGGCTCTTGTGCTCTGGGAAATGGAAGATGCTGTCACCAAAATTTTAGAGTATGAAGAGGCACTAATAAAAGAAATCTAGAGACAAGAGAAATTGCTTCTGAAGCCCTCTTTCATCTCAACCTCCTGCCTGCAACTGAACAAGGGAAAGGGACAGGCAAAGGAGGGCAGAAACCAGCATATTTTCAATTAACTTTTTCATTTCAAACTCTGCAATGAAATTTCTGCAGGGCTTGACACAGTTGTACATTTGTCATTGTAAAACAGCAAGGGAACTATGAAAAACCATCAAGGCCAGGTTACAGTAAGTCTTCAGCTGCAGCGATATTTTGGGTTGTACATGTTGTCATAGAGTCAACCGAAGTCCAGGACACCGTTATCCCAGAAACAATAAAAACCATATTAAAAAAATGAAAACTTACCTTTTAGGAGACTGTAGACAAAAAAACCACCCTACACTACATACAGTGTTAGCTGCTTCTGTTGCTGCTCAGAAACACGGCTTCAGTTCATCTTACCTCATCATGAATGTTTCCCCAAACCTGCCCTCCTGGAAAACTCTTGGCTTCACAGCTCAGGAGCTTCCTTCCCTCAGTTTCTCTACATTTTTCAACTAATGAGAGGGGTGAATAAAATGAACATAGAAGATTCTTTCTGAATTTAATTTAAATGCTGTCTTTGCTGTGAAAAATACTTCAGATGGGAATGTTTTGATCCTCTCAAAAGCAGCAAAGGAGGAGACTGACATCTGAGTTACGGATCAGCCTGCTCGTTTCCTGGTAGATTTCACCTGTGAATTACTGCTACTTTCTCCATACAGCTCAGTACAAAGTACAAAATGAGCTTTATTTCAAGCAGTCTCCTTCATAAAAAAGCTAATTAGAGCTGGTAATGTATTGCTTGCATCCCCTGAAAAGAGAGCGCTGTAACACACTGCTACTGCTGCTGCCTGAAAGAACAAATACAGTGTAAATACATGCACAAATAAAAACCACAGACTTCTAGCAAAGGCTGATGCACTTCCCTGGCTCTGATTTATACTGGAGTCATTTAAGGACAAACAGAATCCCTTAGAATAAAGGGAGAGCAGAGGATTTTAGTGTCTCCCAGTGTGTAAAGAGCTCCTTAGGTACTGTTTAGACTAACCACTGCAACATCCATTCACCATCCACCTGAGGAGTTACTACAGTTTCCTCATGCTGGCTTTACAGCAAAACAAACTAAGGATTTAAACAGTTGGTTTGCTAGAATCAGCTCACTCCTTAGAAGGTTTTCAGTCTGTGAACCAAAGAAGACATCATTACTCCTCAGCCAGTCTTCTGTCTGCAGTGCTGCCAGCAGGCATCAGTATGAACACAACAGCAGAAAAGGTGAAAAGCCATGAGTTAGGAAGGAGACAGCCTGCTGCACACAGGCATTGGTCCATGCTACCTACAAGAGCAGTGACTGGAGGCAGTAGCTCACTTACAGCGGTTCCTCTTTCTCCTCTCCTAGTCCGTTTCCTGACAGGGCACTGGAGCAGAAACTCGATGAGCAGGCACCAGGGAACTGTTGGAACACTGCACTTGCAGCCAACGCTGTTATAAGGAGAGAAGAGAGGGAGGAGCCAGGCTGAGGGGCTTCTGCAGAGCATGTGGGGGCCCTACCACACACCCCACAGTACCTGGGGCTGGGAAGGAGGAGACTACACCCAGCAAGAAGACAATGGTTGGAAGCAGTCTGGTGCAGCAGCTGAATGCTACACTGAGCCTCAGAAAATCCTGTTACTGCCCTGCTGGGTGGTCCTGTAAAGTCCTCTCTCTTCACAATAGTGTCCTGTCAAGCTGTGCCCATCTCTCCCATCTATTGCTAGTGTGAACTGCTCCAGACTTTCTCCACTCTGTAGCTGCCTCAGAAGATCAGCTGGGGACTCACGTATAACACCAAAAAACCCCCAAGCCATTACATACATCTAGGGTTTCCTCACAATGCCTGGGCAGGTGAAGGAAGGCCTGAGCTTTCAAGGTAAAACATTACATTCCTCTCTGGATTGTAGATTTCTGTTTAACACACAGGCACAGGAATTAATTCCCTATCCCCTCCCTCCTCCCATTTACTAGTTTCACTTCAGAAGTAAGCTGAAGCACTACACTGCCAAGTGGCTGCTCTGCTGCGCCAGGTCAGTTATAAATATGCACATCAAGGCACTGTAACAACAAAGAAGCGCCTTCACAGGAATTCAGCAGAGTAAACTACTACAACTCATCCTGCAGGGGACTTGGAACATGTCCACACTTGAGGAAGAAACAACAATTTACTCCCTACTTGACTTTAAGATGATGAAAAACTGAAGATGGAAAATTCTCCAGGAGCATGCACGTCCTGGCCTTCCTCCCTGAGCATTCTGTATACGTGCCACTGAGGAAATCAATTATTAAATATCAACACAGCTTGATCTGTGCAGTCAAAAATTGCTTACACTTCAATTCAAAAGGCTGCAGCTGGTGAAGCTGGCTCCTAACAGAGTTCAAAGGCTTGTCTCATAGCTCACTGCAATTAAGAGGAGTCCTTAGATCACTTTTAGTGCACTTCAGACCCCAGATGGTGTAAATCATTCTTGCAATATAAATTATGGTGAGGTGCTAAGTCTGTTACAGATGATAACTACCTCTTCCCTACAGGACAAAACAGAAAAGGAATCCAGAAAGAACTCTTCACCTTGGATTCCTCTCGGAGGCTCTGACCTGCTCACAGGTTCATCTCCATGTGCTGTCTTTGGTAGTTTGAAGGTGGCTGCACAACAGTGTGGGTACCACAAAATGAATTCTGGTCCTAGGAATAAATGGACACACCATTAACGGTCGTGTGTAGTGTAACAAAATGAGCTATAAAGGTAGCTACTATTAGTTTAGAAGCAGGAGGGCAAAATTCAACTGTACCCTATTAAGTTAAATCCAGACACTGCTTTTTAAAACCTTGAACAAAGATAAATGTTTGGAAGTGCTACAAGGCACTGCCTTCTGTGAGGTGCATTAATTTAACAAGTATCAGTCAAAAATAACCTGATTGTTAAACTTGGTCTTTGAAAAGATACAAATAGGCCTTTTAAGCATTAACTTTCTGAAGTTGTCAAGTTGTGGGTGCTTTCCTGCTTTAAATATAAAAAAGGCAGCAGCTCCCTGCAGCTTTTCAGCCCAAAACCAAAGTATTACAGAATGACTTTTCATCCAGAGAATGCTAATGACATCTGCTTTGTGTTAAGACACAATGTGAGACTAATCTTGGCAGATTTACCTTTTTTCCTTCAGAAATGATTTTGTAGGGTTACTTCAGGGCTCTGCTACACAAACCTCGAGGGCTTCTCATCCAAATTATGAAGTCAAGCAATGAAGATCTGAGCCAGGATGGAAAACTGAGAGAATATTTTTAGACCAAACATAATGAAGACAATTTAAAAAGATTTAATTGGAGAATTTAACCCCTCACAGCCCCATCCCCATGTCATGATGATATCATTACCTACAGGTAGCCTTGCATTTTTGATACCTCAGAGGTTAACTGTTGGTGGCCAAATGATACTAAAATTAGAAACCGATAACTTCTTTCTAGCCCTGCAAGCCACAAGTAAGCTGAGGACCTTCCAGGAGTAAGCATGAACTAACACACTCCTACTGTGCAATCTGTGGGGACTGGAAGACGAGAGATTTTTGAATGAGACAGGTGAAGAGGGAAGTTTTGCTGCAATATTGTCAGCCAGACTTCAAACAACCTCAGTGATGGAAAAGGGCTGACTACGTTCCTTGGAGAGCTGTAACAGAACAGCTTGGGTCTTTGGATTGTGTCTGTTTGTCTGCTAGTTACATGAGCTCCCCTAGAATATTCATATACACAGGCATCATTGGGTGCCAAGCAAGACATCACTTTGAGTCAACCCATGTGCTGTGCATCACAGTACAACAGAATGCCAGTCTCTACCAGTACTTGCACGTGATTTGGTGGACCTGAGAAAACTTGAGCTGGATCTGAAATGGAATGAAGAGTAAAATTAACTGTTACCCACTGAAGATAAAACAAGCAGATGGGGTTCACCATGTTTGCATAGCACAGACTTCTAGAGAGCATAGAACAAGTGTTATGTTACAGCTAAAGAGTCACAGCTGGAGGGTTAAATATGTTTATTTTAGTAGTGTAAGGTGGTTTTACAAACAGATCTTTAGATTTTGCAATATACACAAAGGAATCAGTACAAACAAAAAGCAAAATATCCTCTCAACAATGCAGCCTCTATGCAGCCTGAAATAAAATTAAATCTCTGCTTCTCTTTAAAACACATCTCAGTAAACATTCTTCTCCATCACTGGTAAAATGTGCATCTATAATAAATGACATAATAACTGAGGGGGGACGGATAGGAAGACAACGATGACATCCCTAAAAACAGAACGTAAAAAAACTGGGGAAGAAAAATTATTCTTGTGTTTGGGTTGGTTTTTAATTCTGAACATGTCCATCTACAAAAAATTAAATAGCTCTGTTTAAAACATATCCTGGAAAATTTTGCATGGCAGTGCAATACAGAAATAGTAAAATTCATCCAAAAAGTGCTATGTACAGCAGCATTGTTAACGTACCGGAAGGAAGGGATGGTCTGTTTCCAAGCAAAGACCAGCCTGCTTTTGAACCATTTCTGAATCAAAGTCAGAAGATGTTTCCAGTCTATTTTCAGTAATTCCCTTCTCTCTCCTGTCTCATTCCCACAGATGATGCTTTGAGACAAGGAACAGTCACAGTTCAGTTAAAGTTAGGTGCAGACATCAATTTGCATACACACGGATGTGTACATATATATTTTTTATATATATATACATATACATATAAACAAGCTTGGTTTAAAAAAAGCATTGCTTTGGAACAGAGTGAGAGCTCTTCTGCAGAGTTGAGACAATCTGCAATAAACAGGTCCACGATGGAAGATGGACTTTATCTACCACATTACTAATTCATGGAACAATTTCACTGCAATTTGGAATATTTCCCAGAGAAGACACCCTCAGAGGCCTCAAAAAAATAAGCCAGGACTGGGAGCATGACTTGCAACCCAGCCTCTTTTTGTGCATCCACAATTTGTAAGAGCAAAATTAACCTTTAGCTGTCATTAGCATCACATTTACCTATTAAACATCAGCTTTAGCTATTTTAAGAAGCAGTTACTGAAATTTGTAAAGAACATGAGATTTGCATGGAGCAAAATGTGAATGCAAGAAGTGATGACACACAACAGAGGCCAAATTTGAGGCTGGGGAAGTGTATTTAGAAAAAAGGAGGTCAAATCATTAGGACTGTAAAAATACAAGTGCCTGATTTCACTTGATGGCTCTATTTCTACAAGCTGACAAATTTAACACTCATCTGTTCTTTTGGAGTCACGATATTAAGGCCCTTTACACTGAAAGGAAGGACAGGAAGCACTAAGCCAGATGAGGGTGTTTTGTGCCTCTCAGGTCACTGTGGTTTGCTTGCTGGGAATGTAAACATCACCTTCTTCAGTGCTCCCCAGAACTACAGTTTCAGCATAAAGAAGACTTCTGTGTCAGTGTTATAATCAGTTTGGTTCTTGGGCTGGGATGTAAACACGGCAGGAGAAGCTGTATCCATACAAACTGCTTTTGCAATGCTGCAGGCTCCCTCAGGATTCCCTCTCTCTTCAATGGGGCTGGCACTGAGCTGGCCCAGGCTCTGCAGCCGCTGCCTCTCCTGGGCCTGTTTAGCCCTGTTGGCGATGTACCGCACGCGGCTCTGGCTGCGTGATGATGAGCGGCGCAGGAGCCCCATGCTCTCCCCTTCCTCCTCAGATTCACTTGGGTCAAGGCTGATAGGGGAAGTGATATCATTTTCCTGCTGAAAGGCTGTCAGCTTCTTCAGCTGCTCCATCAGTTCATCCTGGGATTTGACTGAGGATCTCAGGCCTGAAGAGCGGCGCTGCTCCCGCATTGACCGAGTGACAAAGCTCCTGCTGATGCTACGGTATTTGCTTTCAAAAGTACATACAATGTCATCAGAGGTAAGGTCTCCAAGACTTTTGGATTTTGCCTGGTTATTCCCAACCATGTCATGTGCTTTGGATTTGTTAGAAGACTGTCTGAGACTTTCTATGTAGAGCCTGCTCCAGGTATGCCTTCTAGGGATGGATGAGAATGCATCTTGAGGACCCCTGGCAAGAGGACGGGGGCACAGTTCATCTGCTGGCAGCTGGCCAGACCTCAGGTTAGGGTTGGATTTGCTCTTGCTCACCATTGGCATCTCGTTACTGGAGGCTGTGGCTGATCGTGGACGCATACCCTTCCTTACGGCAAGGGGCTCAAAATTCTCATGATGGATGCCAAGATCTGGGAGGCTTTTGCGAGCTAGGTTGGGGAGAGAGAGATCTATCACAGTGTCATTGGAGGACATGCTGGAAGAGGAGGACATACTGTCACGATGATTGCTGCAATCTAGCTTGCTCCAGATCCGGTCATTAACAGTGGCATCAAAGTATACCTCTGCTGCTGGAGACAGGCTACTTGGAATTTTTATTAAGGCTGAGGAGTCTGACATCTTCAGGCCTTC